GTGTGTGTGTGTGTGATGCTGTCGCTGTTAGAAGAGAATTAGAAGATGAAGTTTAAGAAGTTCATCACGATCATGCAGGCGGCCATGGGGATTGTACCGCTGAACAAACGGGAGCTTCTGCCACCAGGCAGAAAACTGTGGAGACCCCCGGGGTGAGTTAGAACACTGTGGCTGTGTGTCATTACGGTTAACACACACAGAGAGCTTGTGCATAGTAGTAGTGAACTGTTGTAATGACTGCTGCAGCTGTTTATTTCTAACAGATATATATCTAAATCCTGATAACCTTTCTGAAATATGGCTTCCTTTTAGTGTCTAATTCAGGGAAGCAACAGATGGATTTAGATGGAATGGAATAACTGACCTGTAACATTTCATTGAAACAAACATGCTTACTTGTATCTGGTCATCCAGGCAGTTTGGGATTCATTTGCCTGGCTTTTAAGTCTCCACTCTGATAAACGTCAATGTGTCTTTCAAGAAAAACGATGTCCCAGTTGAAATTGAATTGTTTAGCAATGGTCAAACTTGTTGATTACTATACTTTCAGACAAACCACGTTTCTACCAGCAAGGGTTCAAAAATAAACAGCATCTTTTTGCGTCTTTGAAATCCCCATTTGTAAATGCATATATGAGCTATTTCCTGTTAAAAGGAGAGAACTGGAACCCTACATATATCATTCCTCTATGCCCTTGTTTTTGTAGTAAGTTTTATTTTATTATGGGAATTGATGCTGTTCTAATCATCTGACCTTGTTTTTGTGATTTTGTTTTAATTTGAACTATAACATGAAACTTATCTTAAAACAGTTTCTGGCTTCAGATGTGAATAGTCTTAACATTAATATACAGCATATAAATGCAAAACCTTTTCACAGCACAGTAAATGTTACCTACTTACTGGTTGTTTAAACAGTTTATATTATAGTGATACTCATTCTACTGCATGTACTAGTAGGGCTAGTATGGTTCTGTCCATACTGTACATGTCATAGCTGCATTCACTAGTACTATACATTTGGCATATTGGGTTATTAATTTAGTCTATATCACAGCTACAACCCTTGAGAATACACTACCCCATTAGTTGGCTAAGCGGTCTAGTATTGCACTCCTTGTGTGCAACGAGAATTAAATTGAACCTAATCTACACTAAAACCACACTTAGATAATTAGACTGATGTTCATCACAGCCATATTAATGTTCCATTAATGCACCCTAGATCTTTATATCACGACGATGTGATTCCACTGAAAGGGGTTAAACATTATTATTGAATAGTTGTCAGTCAAACAAGTACTCAAGTGGTGTTAGTTTGGTTTGGTCCGGTCTCGGAACCCATCGGCTGTCTTCTGACGGTTCAGCCTCGGGGGGCAAGAGCCAGTGTTTCTGGGCTTCCTGTATAGCCAGTGGATATCCTGACCAATACTTCCTCTGCAGTCTGGTTAGCAACTTGATGCGCAAGAATGATGGAAAAGACACATTTCAGCTAATCTCTAAACAGATATCTGCACATGAATGCAGTTTGAAAAGCAAAATCAACATCAGACGATCGCCACTGGTTCCGAGATTGAATATGGCAAATGTGTTCCTTCTTCTTTGCTCTCCACATGGACTGTTTACCTACAACTAAAGCCCGCTCAAATGTGATCAATACTGTTGTGACTACAGATGCCAATGCTTCCCATACCAAAATCTTCTACTATCTACAGATAGTTTGATCATCTTCTGTACTAGTCCCAATACATAACCTGCTTGATCTCAAGGTTATCTCAGGACTGAATTGATAAAAGAAAGCCTGCGTTACAAACTGGAGCAGTGGACCAGGTAGGGAGATTGTGATGAAAGACAGCCCTGAGTTTTAGCATGTAGGGTGAGTGAGTAGGATGACTTTTTGGAGCTTGACTCATCCTAGAGACTGAAAGTCAGGAAAACTCAACCTCTTGAACATTTGATCATGCTTTTTTTAAATCCTTCTCCAACCCAACTTTATGGAAGTGCAATGCTAAATTGCTTGAGTAAACCTGTGTTATATATTGGATTAAAGTATTCCTGGAGATACAAGGCCCTTTATCGTGTTTTTACTGAACCTACAAGTCTGTTCTTGGTGTGTAAGGAGCAGCAGGTTTAGTCATGCAGAGGAAATCTGCTTTTGTCACTGTCGGCTCAGTATGACAGCAGTCTCTGACTGTATCCCATCTGAATGCATCAGAAACCACGTTCTGACTCGCTGCCATGAAGTTGAAAAAACAAAAAAAAGAAGTTGTTTCAGCTCTGGAGAAATGCCACATGTACGAACATGTTCAGGTCAGAGATTCTGCTCTTGAAGTGAGACTGCAGATTATAGTATTATAGTCAGTAGTATCAATGTGAGCCTGGTGTCCACTGGCTTTACTCACAGCCCTACACGGATGGCTTAGTTCTGGGAAACGGGGCATTTTATAGCTCTTACTTTGATCCTTTGGTCTTTTGAAATATTTTGTATACAATTCCATAACAATCAAGGTTTTAGTTGCTATTCGGAATGTTGCAAAAATGAGATAGTTATAATCTGTAATCCCTGTGAAATTTATAGTTTCTCATCCAGCATTACTTAGTGTGTAGAAACAAAAAGTGAAAAATCACAGCATCCCAGAGCCGCAGTGACAAAATCAGATTACTTGTTTTGTTTTTCCAACAGTCCAGAGCCCAGATATAGACCATTTACAATTACATAAAACAGAAGGGCACATTTGAGAAGCTGGAACCAGGATTTTTGGGGCATTTTCAGTCACAGTAGAGGCATGGAGCTATGGTGATGGTTTGTTGGTTGGTCACTTGTCCAGAGTGAAATATTTTGTTCATGGTTCCCAGATGATGTATCTTACTGACTTTGGTGATCTTCTTCCACAGGGTTGATATTTGAACAGTTATCGGAGGGATTGCCATGAAAATTGGTACACACATTCATTTCTCCCTCAGGATGAATTGTTATAACTCTGGTGATCCCTCAACCTTTCATGTAGCACCATCAGCAGGTTGAAGTTAGTCCAAAACTTTAGTTAATGACCAAATACCTTAAAACTGTACCTTTTGTGTTTGGTGCTACTTAGCAAAATCAGCATGCTAACAAGCTCACCTAAGATTGTGAACATGTCAAACATTGCCTGCTCAACATCAGCATGTTAACATTATCATTGTGAGCATGTTAGGCAGGGCTTCGAGCCAAACGCTAATGTAAACTAGGCTAAGTGCAGCCTCACAGAGCTGCTGTTAGGGTGGCCCCAGACTAAAGATTTTCCATTCCTTGTCGACTAGTAGCCATTAAATAAAGCCAATAGTCGTCTAGATGTTGATTTAATTACTTAAATTTATAGATTTTAACAGCCGTCTGTTCAATGATAATGGTATAGATTTGAATGCCTGCTCAGAAGCAAATAAACATGATACAGTAATGTTGTCTCAAAACAACACATAAACTAACTTCCAATTCACAAAAACAATACTAGATGCACTTATCAGTACGTTGGACTGATTATATAAGACGTCCATATACAGAGACTAAATACAACTGTATTTCACAGGCTGACTAGTAACGAACGTGATGAGTAAACTAACCTTTCTGTGTTAAATGAGTGGTGTCCCTCTGAGAATTACTAAACTATTCTGCAAATTCAAAACATGTAAGATCATAGCACAAGTATTTCTGGGTAATAAAACTGGGGTCACATGTCATACACT